AACTTCCCACCCGACATTTCCGACACCAAAGTCCAGCGATGGATCACCTCTCAGAAAACCAGCAAAGAGAGCAAGCAAGTCCTAAAAAGCTGGTCCAACGACTGCGCAAAATGGGCAACCACACTGGACTCCGACACCAGAGCCCAACTCGAACGAGCCGCTGTGCTATGGGGCATCCCGGTGCGAACCCTATCAAAACTGGGGTCATCGGCCTTGGGCCGCATCCTGGCCGCTGCGAGTCACTTCTACCAGTGACTCTCAACAGCACACCGACAACGACGCACAGCCAGGCAGCACAAATTTTGGCAACACCACTGCTGCCAACTTCTCACTGTCCTCCGTTTCACTCTTCGGTTCTTCCCAACCGATGACGTCACCGCACGTCATTCTTGCTCCTGGCTACTCGCACAGCTTCAGCTACTTGACGTCTGCCATCTCTCCTGTGGTTCCGGCAGACTGAAAGCCCTGCTTACTCGACTTGGCCTGGACAACCCTGCTTCCGATTTCTCTTCTCAGCTTGTCCCTTCAGCGGTTTATCTGAGATTCACCGGCCATCCAAAGTGGCAGGCCTTTTTCTACCTCGGAGCCACTCGCGCCTCCCTCATGGCACGGGGCCGCAGCCAACTTCGCAAACTACTCCAACTTCAGCGACATCATCTGGTCAATGCCGAACTGGCAGTCCGGTGGTGGGCACATTTCGACTTTTTCCACCACTACACCTCGGTGCCCATTCACACTGTCGTTCCGGCAACGGACCTATTTGCCACTGAACAGTTCTACATCCAGGAACTGCAACCGTCTCTCAATTTTGGCTTCATCGAGAAACATCTCCGGCCACGCACGGGCTTCATACGCCAATTGGACTTCTCCCAATCCCGGCACATGGGCTTCGCCACCATCTGGCGAAAACGCCGCCGACTACGACTACCCATCGCCCTACAACAGGCCTTCCTGGCCAAACGCGTGGACAACCGCCTGGATTTGTGGCGATTTTTGGGCGATCATGGCAGCAACACTCTACGACGATTTGATGCCATCCGTTACATACGGACCAGAGACTTCCCACCCGCCGCTCTCTATGTCCTTCATCGCATAGCCACACACCTGCCTGAACCACACCACCAGGCATGCCTTTCCGCCATTCGATCCAGTTTACAATTCCGGGGCCTCATTCCACCTGGCCCCTCCAGACCGATGCTTGCACCCTTCCTCGCCTGGCGACTACTGCTAACCTGGTACCGACAACGACAACCACACTCCTCTACCACACACCTCACAGAGGACACACTTGACACCTCTGCCATCACCCGCGTCTACAACGGACGCCGTCGCCGACACAAACCCACACAACGCACCCTGTGGCTCGACGACATCCCCGAGATCATTCAGGCCACCCTCGACATGCAGATCTTCTCTGTCGGCCTTCGTTCATTCAGGCAAACACGTGGGGCACCGATGGGATCCCCCGTGTCCCCAGCTCTCTGTTTGATGGTGATCGCGGTCGCCGAACAATGTTGGACCAACACTCACATCACATCGGGACTTCGCTCCGTTGAAGATACTCTCCTACTCCGCTACGTGGACAACAGACTTGTGATCGCAACCCCCAGGTGGCTCTCGACTCCGGCAGCCAACATACTGTGCGACGAACACTTCTATGGAGGAGACATCTTCCTGGACACAGAAGCCGCCCTGGACTTCTTGGGGTTCCGACTGAACCTCACAAGCAGCACCATCTCCTTCATCCCCTCGCATGAGAAGCACAACATGCTCTCCGTCAAGTCAGCCGCACCACTGATGCATAAGGAATCTGGATGTTATTCCGGACGCACGCTGATCAACCGAGTTTCCTTTCCTGAGTTTCAACGAGGTCAGGGTCTTGCAATGTTGAAGAGGTTGCACCTCCAACACGGTTTCACCTTACAAAGAGAAGAAAAACCGTCCTTTGCGGAACCACACTGGTTTTCTTCTCTGCCTTTGCATCCTGACAGAATTGACCTGATTTTCGCGCCGCAGCTGTTTGACTGTTTGACCAAAATCCGTTACGAGCATGGATACCAACACAGCACGCCAGCTGCTCCAAGACTTCGAACTCATCCTTGGCATTGCCCAACAAGGCATCGCCACCAACCGCGAGTTCCCTGAGAGTCCGCCTGCCGAACCTGATTTGGCACCGGAGGCCACGTTCAACCCCGCCATTGAGGACCTGACCAACTCACCACCAACACCCCTCCTGGCCCCCCTCGAGGACCTCTTTGAGCCACCTCCTGATGCTCCAGATGAACACCTTCCCACGGATCATGACGAACAATTCCCTGATCATTGGGCTCCGCCCACCC